TGATAGAAATTGCATGGATAAGCTGTTGCCAGCATGCTTTGCTGATATCAGCGCAATGTATGTTGGAAGCAGGCCTCTCCACATAGTTTCTATCAAGTGCACGTCACTTCCGGTGACACGCCTACCCCAACTCACCGATCTCGATATATCTACTATTCCTTCGGATAAACTGTTCATGGATTCTAGCATACATTATACCAGTTTTATCCTTAAAGGAGGAATTCACGATTAGAATGAAGGTCGAAGAAAGGGAAACTGACCTAGTTGAGGGACCCACGGACCTCCTGAGGGTGCGAACTGACGCGCAATTCGCATGGAAAAATTTGACCTCGGCGACCTATCATGCCTCAAAGCTGGCGGGTCCGGCGATCTCCGCCCACCGATCATCTGATCACTCGCCGTAGTTCAATACGTGGCGAGTGATTAGATAGCTGAGAGAGCGTAGTGTTGAAGAGGGCACAGCGATGAGAGTCGCATCAATGCTCGAATCAACGGGCAAGGAAGGGGTACCATTTCTCGGGTTCTGGGCCGTTTCTCATGGTTCTTCCTTCTTTCGTGTACCACTCACCATCCCTAGGTTAATTTGAAATGGGTTGCTTTTTCATCGTGAATTCGTCCTTTAAAGTGGGCGAAGAGAGGAGTGTTGAGTTACACAGTACCTAGTTGTAGTGGGTTTGAGTATGGCATGCTGTCGTTTTGTTTTCTCACGTCTACCTTTATGTAGCGTATAGATAAATAAAATGAACAAAAATAAAGGACAGTTCCGATCCCTGGGACGTAATGGCCTAAAATGCAGCTCTGTTGGATGACCTGAGGATGGAATTATAGATACAATATTTTTACGGATATCAAAGCTCGGCCGGGTGCCTTTGAAGGTTTTACACAGATTTGAAGGCTAAAAATTTCCCGAAAATCTACTTTTACGTTGCCACTAGATAGTAAGAGCAGTAGCAACACAGTTAGAGCTAGTGGTGGATGTTCGATGATTAGTATTGATTAATCAAAAAATCACAGCTACCTAAAACGCTGCCCGTAGTGCCTAAAAACCCTATATGCTCCACTGGATTCGACAAAAGGTGTTGTTGGTGTTCTTATGAAAGCAAATCTCAAATGTTTTCGATCGTATATAAACGGGAGGCAACGCCGCAGTAACGTCGTCTTTTCCATGATGTTAACGCAAGCTCTTCTGCTATTACTCTTAGCGGTGAGCGACTGCTTAATTTTTTGCTCCGACGACAAGATCTTCATCCGTAATTGTATAAATAATAAGGGAATCCACTGTCCTGCCACACTACCACGTACGGTTTGTTGTCCGCTAGGACAGAAAGCGACTTTTTCGCTTTTTGTGCCTCGGATCTTTCTTCGTTGTGGGAACCACAAGTCCACATTTGATCACTAGTGCACCTGGAACTCCCGTAAGTGATTTCCGCGCCAAGGGCGGAAAGGTCGCTTTCAAAACCTTGGCGAATGTTACACTCCCGTGTACGATGTGTCACGTGCAAAGCGGAGTAGGAAGTTGACGGAAAATTTCCAATTCGGGTGACTTCACAGTGAGTTTGTACGACGGCTGACCTATGTTCGCCTCCAAACGTTCGTCTGGCCTCCTACACCCACCTGCTCGAACCGCAACACATAGGCGACTGCAGTTGTATATAGCAGTTAAACAAAATACTAAATATTATAGCTCTCGAACCTATTTTGGTAACGGTTGTGTGTCAAGAGGTACAGATTTCTGCTTTGCGCGAATTTGTTAGATAAGCGAGTCACTTCTCATCAGATTGCATTAGATTAGTTCTAAGCGCGCCTACCACTCCTCATTAACGCTAAAAAAGAGTACCAAACGAATGCTTTAGTTGGTGTTTCGGAGATATTGGAGGTGTTCATGAATCAAAAAGGGAAAACGAATTCTTAACGTGAAATGATTATTGAGGGACCTTCCATTCCAGGCCATTCAAAGCCATTTCCCACGCATTTATAAGGCACGGGATGGACCCTATGGAAAGCTCGGATTTTGTTGCTGCAATGGGGATGCCCTGACGCAGACCAAGAACGTCAGTTAGAAAAATCTGCGCTGTCACTCCCACGATCTTCGCAGCGAATCAAATCACAGCCCTACACATATCCTTACTCTCTTCTAAAGTTTCGGGTGCTTTTCAGTTTCCCTTTCAGGTCAGGTTACCGAAATTATGACACCAATCACTTGCTCGAAGAGTAAGCCAAGTCCCAGTAATAGGCTAAAGCATAAACCTAACTCTAAACCCAAGCCTAACCTTAGGCTTCAGTGACCGTGCAGCTCTGGTGACCTGACCTAGGAGGAGGACTGAACGTATCCCAAAATTTTCTATAGCCAAACCCTGTTGAGATACGCAAGTTAGGAACGACTTATGTGATCAGTGAATGTGCAGGAGTCGAAAGCTGCTGTAGCACAGGACACGGATCCAGACTACTACCCCGGCAATTACGATGACTACTATGACAGCACGGCTGAAACGCCCAGTAAGTTTCTCAATTAGAGTTGGTCCAAATTGATCATCCCGGAACATTTGGGTCTCAAAACCTTTCCGCTTTTCAATGCCTTTAACAGTGTCGACAGCTACGAGCACAAAGCCGACCACAACAACCACTACGACGACAACTACAACTACCACTACCACAACGACCACAATTCGTTCCCCTGCAGGCACTGGTTAGTTTTTCGAACGCCAAGAAGGTCAGAATAGGTTATTCTTGACAGCCAAAGAGTGAACATATCTGTGAACCCTTCCCACAGGTCATCCTTAGAGGTGAAAATCGGTATTAATGAAGGCATTTGGATGGTGCAGAGAATAGAGGCGTGCCCAAGAAGATGACAGGTATACTCTTGCGAAAGGATTCTCAATCATCAATGGCATCATGAGCCGACAAATGCTCCCAAAAATTGTCTTGGTTCTCAGACACGCCCACCGCCTGCAATTAGAAACGAAGGTATCAAAATCCATTCAGTTGATACCCTTTCTCCCCTTGATTTCGGATTACAGTTTGTAGGAGGCTTTGGGCTAAGACCCCAGGGCTTGTTTCCTACGCTGTCTGGCTAGCGCGCTTCTAGCAAAGTATAGCCTTTCCCGGTTGACCCACTTTATCATAGCCACTCCCTTTGAGCTTTTGCAGGCGCACTATTTGGCAAATCTACTTTCCAAGGGCTATCAGCGTATGGTTCATGACATTTGGTTTCTCATGTTCCAGGAACTAATTGTTCGAATAACCAAGGCATGAATGACGAGATAAGAAACCTTTCGTTGACTACGCATAATTATCGCAGGTAATTTCTAAATTTATAGAGAGAAGGCTTTCTCCCTGATCACAGTGTTTGAACAGTGTGTCTTTTAGATCTCGGCTTGCACAAGGCTGGCAAAAATAAAAGGAAGGAATCTGCGGAAGATTCCAATATGCTGCAACTTAGCGATTACTATTGTCATCTGATATTCGCATTTATTACCATCTGAACATATAATCGGGCCCAGGAAAGCGAGAACAAAAGTCAGAACACAAAAAAACGTCAAAAGAGAACACCTACCCAAATTCGGATCTTATTAGTGGGCAGAAGTAAATGACTCTCAAAATAAAATCGACCATAATCTGCAATTCTAACACCAGAGTTCCTTTTGCTTCGAATAAAAACCGTGTTTAAGGCTGTATTTTTTTTTATGAGATCGGTAGCCTTTTGAAAACGCTGCTAAGAGGTGTGGTAGTGAATAAAAACTGGGTTGAAAGACTTAATCTTCCAACACTGAACACTGCTCCACGTTGATCGAGCCTCGGTGCTGACGTCGTCAACGTGAACTCTACCACTCTGCCAAAGCGGCTAGTGCCGACTTGTGGACTAGCAGTTTAGGCGTATAGCAAACGGTAAGACGAATGTATATTCATGGAGAGAATTTGCCGCGAGTGTCCCTCAAGAGGCCCGTCGCGAAGGAAGAGACGCAGACGCGGCAAAGGACGAGTCGCAGCGCATACTGTAGCGGTTGGGCGTCAGGTTGAATAGAGTGTACCATACTACGTCTCATATCGCACAGCACGCGCTGCCACTCGTCCTTTGCCGCATCTGCGTCTCTTCCTTCGCGCGCGATGGGCCTCTTGGGGGACACCCAAGGCCGGGTATGGCCGCTACGAATGCATACTTCGTGCGGAGTCGATCCTCCAGCTTCTAGGGGGTCTGTCATCTACATCGTGGTACATTTACCCTTGTTCGACATCCTGTTCATCGTAACACCTGTCTTTGAGTCTGTAAGGTCGGGTAAGGCCGCTACGAATGCAGCCTACGCGGCGAAGCACGCCCCACCAGCTTTATGCGGATGTCCGTTAACTATATATCTATATTGTAGATGCATTTACCATTTCGGCCTCCGTTTATTGTATCACGTGTCTTTGAGACTTGGATGAACTCCTTTACAGGCTCAGCTAGATACCCCTCCTGCCTCGGGGCATACGTCTTCTTGACGGATCCTCGGTCACGAGTAATTCAATATTTAAAGTCATGGGCGATAATAATATACGACTTGAAAATTCATTGTGTATGTAAAACTTCGAGCAAAGCTGAACATCAAAATGTCTTGTTTCGATTCGAAACGTTGCACACTTGCAGGACTATGACTGCAACTTGGAAACTACTGCTATGCATCTGCGAAAAGATGTTCGGTTAAACAAGACCCAACTCTCTCTTCTGGCGTGCAGGAGAATCACTATTTAGTGAGGAAGGACCAAGCCCGTACCAAAGAACAAGCGCTCATAGCTGTAAATTGAATCAGTTCATTCAAACAACACAGCATCATTTAATTAAACACGGCTTTCCAGGGTGTTAAGCAATGGTGGAGCCAAATTAGAGTGACTGGAGGTATTGGACGTGGTGTCACGTTACACTTGTTTAATGTTTTGGGCAAAACGACGAGTGCGTTCACCAGGGTATGGAATCTTCTATGGATTTTGCAAACCTATGCAAATCCTTAAAATGATTGTAATTTTAGATGGCTTGGGCGACCACTCAACATTTGGGTTGTGCCGTCAATTCTTGTGGGAATAGCCATTGGTCTGTAGTATGCCACTACAAGCCTGGGTTGGTTAGCATTTGGGTTAAATAGATGTTTTTAGGACGCGCTGAGCGGCGTGGATTTTTGATAACGTCATGAACGCCATTGGTGGAACGCATTGAGGAAAGTGGTATCCGATACGGTCGGGTGCCCGACAGGAGGCCCTTCGTGCGCGGCAAGCACGGGCAGAAGTCAGCGGACGAGTGCGCAGCGCATATGGTGTTGTGATCGCTACTGCAACTCGTCAGCGACTATGCCGCGCGACGCGGACTTTACTTCGGGTAACCGCCTCCAAACACACTACATTTTTGCTCAGCGCGCTGATGGTGGAGATATATCTGCTCCACCAATAAAATTCTGTGACGTCAGCAAAATCGCAACGCTACAGCCATCGTGATCACCGCCTTGGAGGGATATTTGGCCGTAGGACTAACTGATGCAGAAGAAAGGAAATCTATAATAGTTAAACGAAAATGATTGTGCACTTGAATTCAAGATTCACATTTTCAGAGGAAATATCGTGGGCCGGCAGATCTACATGAAAGGAGCTCCATGTACAGCTTGTCCTGTATCCTACAAGTGTACCGCTATGAAACTTTGTTCGCCTGCTTGAAAGCTCTTCTCTTTCTCTAAAGAATTATTTGACATGTGCAAGCCAATAAAATTCTTTTTCTGGACCGTTGTAATTCACCCACACAGATGATCATTCAGATTTGTACTGCTGAAGACTACGAAACGAAACCCGTGATTCACGATCTGTCGGCGTCTTCTCCTGTGTAGGTAGGGATTGAAGAGATATAGAGTTCTTCCGGGATACGAGCCTAACTTCTCTTTTTTGCCAGGTGACAATTGCCTACTCTCAGGGATAGCAATCTGCTCACAATTCAGGCACAGTTTAAAGGAAGGACCTGTTACTTGCTAGCCTTCTGGAAGAACAGCCATTGAAATTCGACTCACTTCATTTCAAACACATCGTCATCTCAAACCCATCGTCGTCTCATGCTGGCAATTTAGAGTTCCTAGACGAGCGAGTATGGTCCTGTGCTTCACGGGGATTTCCTATGTACAATGGAAATGAGGAATTGTTATATAGTGAATCGCTACAAATTTTATTACTCCAGATCAGCCTTCTTTTCCTCTATGTTAGCTCGCGGCAGTCCCGTTCACTCCTCGGCAGCCCTCACACACTGAGAACTCGGGCTGGGGTTCTGAGCCACTTCCGGGTGACGTCCTAGCATCAACACTGGTTTAATACTTTTGCGACTTTTAGACATGTTTGGTGTGACGGGGGCCATCAACCGGCCCTGTCAACCTGGGCCTGACGCTGGTACTAGAACCATTTTTGCAATTTTTGCAAGGCATGGTTTAGAGCCTCGGCAGGGATCGAACTCGCGGTTTTTCGGAGGTGCAGACATGAGTCTAACCTCTTAACCACTCGGCTATCCCTGCCTGATTTCCCAATCAACAATATACAGTTAAACCATTCGACTGCCCACACTCAAGAGTCAAGATTTGATCACCGTTTTTCCGGTTGTTATTAAGGAATCTTTCCGCGGGAAAAGCTCCGCCTCCATTACCACAGAAAAACGATACCCCTTAGGCCCCTAGCCTCATGAGCATAGCAAAAAGAACGGAACATAAGCGTTAGTTTCGATAATACTAATCCTACACACAAGACAAAATGATCACTCTTTCCGTGGAAGATTCCTTTAAGGTATCGTTTTCTGTGGTAATGAGGGCGGAGCTTTTCCGTGGAGGATTCCTTTAAGACCTAATCTACTGGAGGTAGGTACAAGTATACTGTAAGTGGCTGCTGAGTCAATCTCTTTTGCTGAGCCATATATGTAAGCAGAAAATAAAGTATTTCTGAAAAGATACATAAAAGCAGGCTGCATGTCAGGAGCACGGCCTCAGTGTTTTTTTCAATACACCGAATGCGACTCATCCCTCTTTCGCAATAGGTTCCACGTGTTCGCTATGCGTTGGAACCCTCAAGAGGCTCTAAAATCCTCCAGCATGAAGCTCACTCGAATAGTTCCATCTTGCTTCGCCGGTCCCTTCCACTGCATAATTATTTAAAAGGGTCCGTTGCTTGTGGCAATTGCTGAAATTTACCTCTATTTATAATTACTCAATATATCGGTGGAATACAAGAGGGCAACTCGGCACTCCATGACCAATTCTTATGCACTCCTGTCTCTATTGAATATAACTGTTGTTTTTTTCTGCTCACATAATTTTTTCTTGTCTGAACAAGCTCACTCGCTCAGTAGCAAGGGGGGGGGGGTGGAGGTTGGTTACAAAAAAGTTCTTAACCTTCATTCCTATGTTCTTTTGCTTATTATAGTTTGCTACTCCTTATTACCCTTCATGTTCTCATTCCCATAGGAAGCGTTGACTTCGGTTCCTAAACTGATTTGGGTAAGGACATTCTTTATGGATATTAGCATGTATATACCGATTGCGGTTTTGAAATTCGGCAGGAGCTATTTTAACTTCTGGAATTTGATTGAAAATGGCTATAGTTGCATAGAGACATGTATAGAAGTATATTGCTATTTGCTATTTATTTCGAAAAATCCACAAGTCAATAAAGTTTGAAGGGATCGAAACTGGGTCGCGTTGTTGTGCCCATGTTTAGCCTTTGTCCGTATCGCCGTGGCTCCTTCAAGTAACAAGGCAGCCACGAATGCATTACGACAGCAGTTCAAATTTGTTTAATTTAATTTAATTTAATTCAAACATTTACAATACAATAGGAACTAAATAGATGCACAATCTTTTGGTTTTTCTCGGCTCATAAAACAGAGTATATATATAAGTATAAATACAAAATAAGCAATAGCAAAACAGTTATAATGGAGTAACAATAGTAAAAAAAGACAATGAAACCAATGAAATAGGGAATTTCTTAGAATCCTTCTGCTTCACACGTCATAATTTCTCTTACCTTACTGGTTCACTGTACATAAAGTTGTAGCGAGAAGGTATTTTCAAGCAACATATTTATTTCCTCTTGGAAAAGTTGCGTTGTTTGAAGAATTTCCTTCCGCGTGCCTTGGATCCTTAGAACTCAATGGTTCAAAACTGACAGAAGACACAAGACACTCTAAGGAAAGTGGTTATTTGAGAAGGAATGGTATTACGAAGAACCTCCTTCGAAGAACACTTTTGACCGCTACTGAAGCACTTGAAGTACTTGAAGCATGGCCGGCCACATTCATGCTTATACGTACCCAGAGCATCTAATCGGAGTTTTTGGCATGGCATTGATTTGGCAGAAGCAAGTATCTATCCAATTCTCTACCTCCCTACTCGACTCGTATTGTCTCTCTCCGCTCTATCAATATGGCGTTCTTGCCGATTCTTCCACCTTCACGGATTAGCTGAGCTGCATTAGGCACTTTAGAGTTTCCATGCTTTTTGCTGTGAGAAGAGGTTTCTGTGAACGCAGCCCGCACAGCCCAATATGGCTTTCCTTTTTGTGATACATTGTTCACCAAGTATGAACCACTTCGTATTATTTACATACATGAAACAGAGCCCCTGTAAAGAAGACGCTCCTATTGTCGAAATCCCATCGATTTTTGGATTTCGTGAACTTTGGATTTTATTTGCACTCACCGTGGTGCACGCCTTACCCTTAGCCGCCTTAGGTACGGACCTTACAATTTCCCTCGCAGCATCCTTCCCAGAAGTCGGGCTAATCCGGGTCTTCGCTTTAAAATGGGAAAAAAACAAACAAAAATTGTTGAAATCAATCAGGAAAACATGACAAAACATGATGACTTGTATGTTCGCTAAATGCCGTTTCCAGCGACACTCAGTATAAAAGCAGATAAGCAAAATGAAGCTCTCAGGTGTGTTAAAGCGGGCCTGAGCAGCGTTATCCAGATAAGTAGAAGAATATACCCTCCCTTTCAAAAAACGAGAAGAGCGTCGGGTGCAGACCATACACCACAAGTGACGACGGCCTCCAAGTAAATCTGGTTAGTAGTGGTTCATAGTGATAGCTGATTTTTGTAAATGATAGTTGTAATTAGTGACAACTGATAGAATACAACTGCAACAGGCTAATCATTTCATTGGCAAAACATTTACATTTTGTGGAGGCCGTCGTCACTTGTGGTGTATGGTCTGCACCCGACGCTCTTCTCGTTTTTGAAAGGAGAGTAGGTTCGAACTCTGCCAACTCAGTATCCTAAAAAAATATAATACTTGTACGGACAAGGAAGTGAAGCAAATTTTGGAAGTAGCGAAAAAAAAAAATCATCAAATACTGTCATAACGCTGGACCTCTATGCAATAACGACTCCGTTAGTCATAGTATAAAGTTCCAGATATTCTCCAGGAATCTTATTAAAGGTAAATCATGTTTTTTTCCGAGTTCGTGATCAGAAATTTTATGTTTTATGATTTTTTATGGTTTATAATTTATGAGATTTTCAAGGTGCGTCCATTCTTGCAATACAAACCCCTGCAGTATTACGAATGAGCAAATGATCAACTACGGGTGACCAGAGAGTTTCCTTTCCTATTCGATAAACTTTCAACATTTATTATATTACCAGTTTGGCTGCGCACGCATTCGCGTGCATGAGACGGGGCTGCAGCGGTAAAATCGGGCCCATCAGTATTTTTGTCTTGATTTTAGCTTTCTGCTCGGTACATCTTACTTACGCCGCAAACTCCGCCCACATCCGGGTGTGCCACGCCCAGCGTTCACATTCAACCTCTACTCCTACTTTCACCTCTGGCATATTTTTTTTCAGGTCTCTAAGTCATCTCGGAGCCGAATTATGAGGTCTTGTAAATGGCGTTATGAGTCACGAATTTCTGAGGCAGACCCCGCCCACTTTGGTGCATGGTTAGCCCAACAATGGCATTCAACCCTACTCCATACCTCAATACTTATGCACATTTTCCCCGGTCGCCGGAACTTCTAGGAACCGAGTTATGAGAGCGGTGGCAAACTCCGCCCACATCCGGGTGTGCCACGCCCAGCGTTCACATTCAACCTCTACTCCTACTTTCACCTCAGGTATTTTTTTTCAGGTCTCTAAGTCATCTCGGAGCCGAATTATGAGGTCTTGTAAATGGCGTTATGAGTCACGAATTTCTGAGGCAGACCCCGCCCACTTTGGTGCATGGTTAGCCCAACAATGGCATTCAACCCTATCCATATGCACATTTTCCCCGGTCGCCGGAACTTCTAGGAACCGAGTTATGAGAGCGGTGGCAAACTCCGCCCACATCCGGGTGTGCCACGCCCAGCGTTCACATTCAACCTCTACTCCTACTTTCACCTCTGGCGTATTTTTTTTCAGGTCTCTAAGTCATCTCGGAGCCGAATTATGAGGTCTTGTAAATGGCGTTATGAGTCACGAATTTCTGAGGCAGACCCCGCCCACTTTGGTGCATGGTTAGCCCAACAATGGCATTCAACCCTACTCCATACCTCAATACTTATGCACATTTTCCCCGGTCGCCGGAACTTCTAGGAACCGAGTTATGAGAGCGGTGGCAAACTCCGCCCACATCCGGGTGTGCCACGCCCAGCGTTCACATTCAACCTCTACTCCTACTTTCACCTCTGGCGTATTTTTTTTCAGG